GAAGACAGCAGTGTCTGCAGCTGGGGTCTCCAAACAGACCCCCTCCTCAGGTTCAGCACAAGCTTGTCTGGATGGCCTTTGTTCCCCAAACACAAAGCCTGACTCAGGACTTCCCCTCAAGCTCCTACTCCCAATCCTTTGTATTCAGCTCAAGTGACAAGAAAGGGCCAATAGTTTAGGTGGTATTGGGTGTACAGAGACACGTGATTTTCTGGCCCATACTGTAACACTGCTGGCATTTTGAAGATCTCAGGGCTTTGATTCAAAAACTGAAAATGGAAAGCTTTCTGAAACATGCCCTCAGCGGTACCCTCACTTTCTGCAGCTCAGCTGCAGATTGGTTGGGATCATCTTCAGGCTGAGAAGGAAGATGAGGGGCGCAGAGGGGACTGAGGAGGCTCAGCTTAGACAGGAAAGGGCTGAGCCACTCCTTTGGGGGAAAAGTAGGTCAACTCCGGGCTCATGGGTACAGACCTTGAGACCATTATGCTACATTAAATAAGCCAGTCCCCAAAGGACTGATACTGAAGGACCTCACTTGTGAGGGACAGAGAGCACTGATTCATAGAGGTGGAAGGACCTAGTGGGTGCCAGGGCTGGGGAGGGGAAATGGAGGGTTAGGGTTAGGGTGAGTAGAGTTCAGTTTGGGGTGATGACAAAGTTGTGGCAATGGATGGAGGTGGCAGGTCCAGAAGGGTGAATGTACTTATTGCCACTGAATTGACCCTAAAACATGCTTAACAGTGTCAGTTATATGTCTGCTACACCACAATAGGAAAGAAGTGAGTCAGGAGTTCAGGGCCATCGTGAGTCCCAGGAGGGCCCTGGAGCGGGACTCCTGTATCTTAGTTCTTGCTCTCACGCTCTGCCTCTTGTTGGTGACTGAGCTCACAGCAGGCACTCAGTGAATGCTCGCTAAGACACAGTGCAGGCAGATGGGGGCACAAGTGCAAACCCACCGGTGGGCACTGAGGAATCCCAATAGGACCTGCATCTAGACGGAGCCAGTGCCCACATTTTACAAACACCAGCACAGAAATAGCCATTTAAAACCAAGGCAGGAACCACATATAACCCAGAGGGTTCCATTCTCCTGGAGGCTGAGCTAGTGGCCACAGCCAAGGCCTCTGCCAGTCAGGGGACTGGGGGTCTGACAGATGGCTCGGCACACACCCTTGACCCTGAAGCCCCATGGGACTGGGAGGGAAGACCCAGCCAGGGCCCATTCTAGCTCCACGGTGGCTGCAGGGCCACTCCCAGTCCCACCAAGATGTGTCTGTTTAGAACCAGGGAGGAAACCTTTTCTCTCAATTGTTCTTTTTAAAGATGCTTGCTAGCATAAACTTAGGTTTATTATGAAGATGAGCTAAGCTTCAGAAAAAACACAGCAGCATGACATAGTTGTCGACAATATGGCCATCTAAGTTCACTGGCAATGAGTTCACGGAGTATCCCGGCTTCAACCACTTACTTGCTGTGTGACCTTCAACATGTCACCTGAGCAGCAAAGATTAGGGTGACAGAACAGAATGCAATTGTTCTAAACCTTCTTAAGGTTAAAATGGCACAATTAAGTAACATTGAGAAGGGATGGAAAAGAAAAGGCAAGTTTGCTGCTTTATATTTTTATAGCTTGGATCAAAATACATAATTTAAAGTTGATAAATACATCCATATGCCTATTCTTAGATTTATTAATAAAAAGATAAACCCTAAACTCATATTTAGCAGTTGAGGAAAGGATACTGAAAGGAAGATGAAATAGATTAATTTAATCATTTTTCCAAACAGACTTATATTTTCTGACATATAAGAATCACTGGCTAAATCAGGCCTTTTGGCAGATAAAGGTTAATGAAATACGGCCATTTTTTAACTCATTATCTATGGCTGATTTTATGCTACAACACTGAAGTCTAGCAGCTGCCAGAGCTAAGCTGGAAAACCTAGAATATTTGCTGCCTCTTCTGCTGCAGAAAGTTTGCAGACACTTGCTCTAAAGTAATAGAGTATCAAGTATAGCATATACAATTACAAGGATAAATATAGCTTCTATTAAAAAATAGAAACATTTCATATTATAAAAAAATCACCGACACATAAAAATTGCCTAAAAAGAATGACAATGTAACTGACAATTGTCTTTTCAAAAGAAACTAAGAGAACAATGATATATTTTCACAGTAATGAAAGAAAATTAGCAAGATTAGTTACCCTACTAGACTATCCTTGTAGAATGAGATTAAGATAAAGACCTTATTCTGACAGATAAAAAATAAGAAAGCACACCACCTAAAAGGTCTTCAATATTTAAAAATAGGTACTTAAGGGGCACCTGGGTGGCTCAGTGGGCTAAGCCTCTGCCTTCAGCTCAGGTCATGATCTCAGTGTCCTGGGATCGAGCCCCGCATCAGGCTCTCTGCTTAGCAGGGAGCCTGTTTCCTCCTCTCTCTCTCTCTCTCTCTGCCTACTTGTGATCTCTGTCAAATAAATAAATAAAATCTTTAAAAAAAAATACGTACTTAGGAAAATAGGCAAATAATAGGAGAAATGAGGTCAGAGACAAAGAAAAATTGATGAACAAAGAAATTGGTAAGCATGTGAGGAGATCAACATAAACACTATAAAAACCAATAATGATATTGTCTAATTTGGAGATAAAATTAAAAGAACTGAAATATTCGATACATAGGCATGCAAGAAAGAAAAGTGAACTAAGAGTCATGAAGCCTATGTGTTGGCAGATAGGCTTACTCAAATTAATTTAGATTTTAAGGAAACAATCAGTTTAAAATTTAAAGGATAACTGCCAAAAGAAATTCTAAAATAGCTGAGAAGGAAAATGAGAGAGAGAAAAAAAAAGTGAAATGCAACTGAAAAACGAAAGCGAAAATCAGTAGCATAGAAATCATAATGTATCAGAATCCACGGGATATGGTTGAAAGAGAACACAAAGAAAAAACTGTGTGTCTTACTTACTTCGGCACACCATTAACTATCTAATCTAGAAAAAGAGTGTAAAACACAGACATGCAAAATAAGACAGAAGACTTGCGAAACTGAATAAAAGAATCCTCATTTAAGATACAAGTTGGAGGACAGAAGGGGGAGCTCTCATGCCCTACCACTCCTCCTCAATCATAAACTCCAACCTTCAACAGTAGAGACCTACGTTACCTTCCCCCACAGGAAGAAGCCTACTTTATGCTCCCTAGGAGGAAAGAAGGATCTCTGCTCCACTAGCAACAATTTCAGACAGCAACTAAGTAAGTGAAAAGCCATCACCACACTGAATTCTCACTTCTTTCCAATGGACTTGAGTACAAAACAGCCCCTCTCAATTTTCTCCTTTTCTCTATAAAATAATGTCCCTCTCCTTTGATCTCTGGACTTGCCTATAGCTTGCGATAGCTTGCATGTCTGGATGTGCAATTCTTCTGTCATTCCCAAATAAACCCATTTCACGGGTAAAATGACTGGCTGTTCTACTTTTGAAGGTTGATGGTGAAGTACCCCAAACTTGAAGAGGTAATTTTAAAAACCAAGAGATTATATTGTTTTGCTCTGCAAATAAAATATATCATGAATGAAATACTTTCAATATATATATTTTATATTTCTATATTTTTTATTCATTTATAAATATATTTAATTATATTCTTAATTTATATATGTATAAATTGAGTTCAGGTGAAAATCTAAACAAATTAACATAGAAAAAATAGACAAAGTTGTCAAAATGCACCAGCTTGAAATATTTTTTTCAGAGTTATTCTCCACTAAGTCTTCAAAAAACAAAAGACAGAAATCACACAGACCATTTTCATAAATGTTTAAAAGGTATTTGATAAAATTCACATCCATTCTTGATTTATAAAAATACACCAAATAAGAGGAATAGATCTTAATATCATAAAATGTATCTATCTACATCTACAAGTCAACTTCATACTTAAGATGAAGCACCAGAAGTATTACTATTAATGTCGGGAATTGACAGGAGGTCTACTTTCAGTGCTGTTATTTTATGTTACACTGGAGGTAGTAGCCATTCTAATTAGGTAAGAGAAATGGAGTTATAAGGGGCATCTGGATGGCTCAGTCTGTTAAGCGTCTGCCTTCAGTTCAGGTCATGATCTTAGGGTCCTGGGACCTCTGCTCAGCCTAGAGCCTGCTTCTCCCTCTCCCTCTGCCCCTCCCCCTCTTGTGCTACCATGTGCGCACTCTCTCTGTCAAATAAATAAATAAAATCTTAAAAAAATAAAAACAAATGAGAGTTTGATAACTGTGGCTGAGGAAACTGATGATATACAGAAGTTCACAGTCTTCACATACATGCACCATAACCAGTTAGAAGGTGCAAAGTACATCATTTCTAACATGAATAAAATCAAATACTATGTTTAGAAAAAAAATTAAAGTCAAAAGACAAATGATAAAACGAAAATTTTTGTAAATCATGATAGGCAAAGAGCTTATTGCCCTACAAATCAGTAACAAAAATACCAAGAGTCCCAAATAAATTTGCAACTTATTTGCCCTACAAATCAGTAACAAAATACTAAGAGTCCCAAATAAATAAGACCAAAAAACAGGTCCCAGAAAAGAAAACTAAAACTGTGCTGACTGCTCTTTCTTTAAATTAGTGGCAGTGAACTTTGAATGGGCTCCTAATGCCGCCCAGGACTCATGTCAGTTTCTTCCTTCAATTATTCTCAAACTTTTTGTAGAAAATTAATTCATACCTTCTCCTCTATAATCAGACATTATCTCCTCCCCATTCTTATTCTCCCCTGTTACTGCCCAAGTCCAAGCTGTCCTCTCTCTTACTCGGATTCCTCTGATAGATTTCTAACTGGGAGCTGCAGCTACTCAATTATAGGAGTCATTAATAAACCAAGAAAACCTGTATATATCCATGACTATTTATGCAAACTAACATTTATTCAAATATTTACAGCATATGTATTCGAAAGGCAGATATTTACCTGAGAACCTACTATATACAAGTTTGGCACATGGCAGAGAAGGAAACAGAGTCTTTGCGCTCACAAAGCTTATATTCTAGATGGGGAGGCTGACAGCTATATAAATATATATGTATGTCAGGTGGTGAATGTCAAAGAAGAAAAATCAAGCAAGGAGGGAGGAATAACCAGTTGATGTTTTGAAGGGAGGTCAAAGAAGCTCTCCCTGACAGGATGACATTTGAGCAGAGAGACCTGGGAAACTGAGGGAAGGAACAATGCAGATATCAGTGTGAAGAACATTAATTCAAGCACTAAATAAAGTAAATTCAATGCATTGATAGTGCAACTGTAGTGCTTACAAAATCTCTAAAAATTTGATAGGGCCTAAAAAACTTCTCCTTGACCACAAGCAGTGCCAATGACTAAAAAAAAAGAAAATTCAGAATGAGTCCACACCTATTTCAGACATAAAACAAATTGGTCGTTGTTGGTATATGTGAGGACTACAAACTTTTGTCCATAATAGGGAAAGAGAGGCAAACACTGAATTTTTTTATACCATACTTAGTTTAAAAATAAACACAAATAACCCTCCTTCCTTCACTCACCCTCTAAGTTTTGGCTGTCTTTCCTAAAAAACATCCTTTTAATTTAATCCTGAAAACAACATGGAGAATGACTTTCTTTCAAAACAAGTTTTCCCTTGAAGAGAAACACATGTTCAAAGTACAAACAACATTCCAGAGTCTGACTTAAGGCTACTTAGTTTCTCCATGATGACGTCATACTTAGGCTACTGAACGTGTTCGTGTATATATCATTTCTTCTACAATTATTCTAAAACTTAGGCCCATTCACGGAAGCGGATCTATGATTCTATGCAACTCTGTGGGAGAAACAAGGACTTCCCAGGTCACAGATAATTTCTCAGAGTAATCAAAATGGATATTGCAACATAATTTTTGAAAATAAAATTTACTAGCTAATTTTAAAATGTCTATAAGGAAAAGACCTAAGGATAGCCAAGAAAATGTTGAGGAAAAAAAACAACAACTTATGAGTAAACCAGGCTAGTGGGTATCTAAGGAAAATATAAAGCTATAATAAATTGTTTGATTGGTTTTTTTTAGGGTTTATTTAAATTCCAGTTGGTTAACATGCAGTGTAATATTAGTTTCATGTTTAGAATTTAGTGATCCATCATTTACATACAATACCTAGTGCTCATCATGGCAAAAGCCCTCCTTAACACCCCTCACCTATTTCTCTCATCCCCCCACCTGCCTCGCCTCTTGTAACCACTGGCAGGGTTTCATTCTTTTTTTTTGTGGCTCAGCAACATTCTACTGCGTATATACCACATCTTTTTTACCCATTCAGCTATAATATTTAGCATATTTATTATCAGCTATAATAATTTAGCATGTGATACTAGGTCAGAGAAATAGAGGAGAAGAGAGCCTACAAACATTCCTGTGATTGTACAGTGACAGTAGAGAAGGGATGATCCAATGACTCAAAAGCAGCATTAGCACCATATAGGTACCAGAAAAAACAGAACGGTTAGAACATCACCACTTATCATATGTGTATTAAAATAATCCCAGCTCAGTAATGGATAACCACCCTAAAACTCAATGACTTAACCAATTACTTACTTGTTGCTCATGGAAAGCCCAACAGGTGGCAGGATCGGGTTGAGGGGATCTGCTCCGTGCAATCATGCAAGGACCCTGGCTGGCAGAAACTTCGTCTTCAAAAGCTATGTTGCAAGGGAGTCCAGGTTGCCAACATCCTGCTGGAAAACAAGGGAAGAAATGTGGAGAATTGCCTGGAACATTTTGTGGGGAGGTGAACATCATGTAGTCATTTTACCTAATGTAGGTAGCATTAGTCAGCATTTGCCTAATTGCAAGAGGCTGGGAAATATAAGTTAGCCAGGTACCTGAGGGAAAGAAGAAATAGATGAAGTGAGCACTTGGTCAGTGTCTCTAATACAGTATGTCTTTCTGGTTACCGAGTATCCTACCACAAGTAGAGCATGCTTCCTCGCTCCCCAAGTGAGACAACCCCAAATTCCATCCAGTTATTGCAACAGCTTCAAGTCCAAGATCTCTGAATGATGACATGGTTCATATATGGATACAGCTCCTTGATATTCAGTGATATTTGCACAAACAACACCAGTTACAGAAATCTCCCTCCTGCCACCTGGCCCAACATATGACAGTCAAGTAAGGATAAATTTGTTTTAAAAACTGCACCTGGGAAAGGGTACATCAGAGGAATGCAGAAGGCACTGGTCTATTGCAGTTATGATAAACTTCTGGCAGGAATTTTGAGGTCCTTTCAACCTGGCAGTAAGAATATATCCTTGATTTCAATTTTGCTATCTGGAACGAACTACTTATTCAACGTTCTTCATAGCTCTAATCTACTCTTTAGCAGGTTTTTTGTCTATAAGCACATTTGAAATAAATGATGGGGACTGACCCTCCTCAGAAACCTCTAAAGTTTTGCAACCCATTTCCTCCCTGAGCAAATTTGGGAACCCACAAATACTTCTAATGACAGAGCATCCAAAAGCTGTTAAAGAAGAGGCCTGCTTTTTTTTTTTTTTGCATTATAAATAAGTGAACTCTATTTTTGAGAGAGAGAGAGGTATCTATTCAGCTACATATGCTAGTAGCATCTCCCAAAGTTCTTTCCTAAATATAATTCTCAAGGTTGCCTTTCCCCAAACTTTGTCTCCTATCTTAAAGCTATCATATTTAGGAGGAAATACCACAATTCTATTCAGATCTGTACTGGAGCCAAAAGACTTAACGGACCTCTGTGCACAATCTCTTATCACTTGGAACTAGAAGCAATGATTTTCTCACCCTTTTCGCTTTTTTTTTGTTTTACTTGCAAGGTAACAAATTCTTGTCACATCCCATCTCTTTTCTTCTATCAACTTATAAACACAGGTAGTAAAAGTCAACACTCAATACCAGCATTACATTTTCTAGCCTTTCCTTGGAACCACAGGCCACGGGTTCACACTCCAAGTAATTACAAACGAACTTTTAAAAATTGTTTCATTGTTGTATTACACAAATCTCATTTTCTAATACCAGATATTAGTTCTCATCTTGATTGACTGCTGGACCAATGAATGTCATGTACTTTGGATTTATTTTTACAGTAGCACCTCCTTGCACCACCAATTTCTGAATCAGAGTAACAGTACATGTCTATCAAAAAATAATCCCTAATTTCATTGGTTTAACAATGGTAGGTGTTTAATAACTTAGATCCAATTGGTTTAAGTGGAGGAATAAGTAGATGACTATGATTCTGTTACTTAGGTTTCCAGGCTGATCATTGTTGTTACATCTTAAAAGGGGGGGGGGGTGTCTTCTAATATCTTGCTGTGAATTGACATCCAGCAGAGAGATTCATGAAGAGTGGAGGATACAAGAGGATTTTATGGGTTAGACCTGGAAGTGGTTAACAAAATTTTGGCCCATATTCCACTAAGCAATTCTTAAGTCAGAGGACCTCAACCTAACTTCAAGAGATGTTGAGAAATCTAGAGATTGGTTGTGTAGTAATTGATTTGATTAGGCATGCCAATCTGTCAGAATAGATAGGGTTGATTTCCAAATAGATTAAAGGCTAAACATAACATAAACCTATAAAGAGTGCTAAAGGAAAAAAAAAAAGAGTACAACTGTTATGTCAAGAACTTCGCAGGATATGGGGGTTTCATGGGACTATGCTGGGCACTCAAATGGAGGACAGAACAGAGAAAGTTTTCACTGATGGTACACACCTGAAAAGAGATGTTACTACTTCAGGAGACACAAATACCCATGAGGACTCTTGTTCCTTACTGAAGAAAAAGCCTATCACTGTAGGTGATACAGAAATTGGATCCCTGGGGAGGGTAAGGAAGGGTAAGGAAGCTATCCTGTGCCCAGACTATGAGCTAGATCTCCTAACTTGGGGCAGGGCAAGAAAGTCTTCCAAACAAGATTCACCAAAGATGCAGAGAAGAGTTTAGCTGTCACAAAGAAGAGAAGCAGAATTATGGGATCTATCTGCAGCCCTTTAAGTACGAAAACCACAAAAGATTTTGAACATCAAGAACTCAAAGAATTCTTCCATGAGTCCTTTCTTTGAGGACTCTACCAGAGAATAAACCTCATCCAAACAAAAAAAAATGACTGGGAAAGCTTCAGCAATTCAGCTCTAATATATATTTCTTTAAAAAATCTGAGATGAAAATGAAGGTGCAGCAAGGGGGACATGCTCTGTATTCTATATTCTCAAGGTTGACTTTTTCCATCCTTCACCTCGTCTTAAAGCTATCATGTTTAGGAGGAAATACCACAATTTTATTCAGATCTGTGCTGGAGCCAGAAGTCTTAATGGACCTTTGTGCATGATCTCTTATCATTTGGAAATAGAAGCAATGATTTTCCCAACCTTTTTACTTTTTTTCTCTTTTTTTTAGTATTTGCAAGGTAACAAATTCTTGTCACATCCCATCTTTTTTCTTCTATCACCTTGACAGAAGTTCCAATGAAGTAAAAGTAATGCAACCAAATATGGGAGGAGAATAAACTCAATGAAATGAGAGGAGTAGAATAAACTCATTAAATATAATTTAGGTGATGAGCACCTGGGTGGCTCAGTTGGTTGAGCTGACTCTTGATTTCAGCTCAGGTTGTGATCTCATAGGTTGTGGGACTGAGTCCCATGTTGGGCTCCATGATCAGTTGCGGGGGGGTCTGCTTGAAGTTTCTTTTCCTCCACCCCTCACCCCACTTTTGCACATATGCTCTAATAGATGAATAAATCTGTAAAAAAATGTAAGTTAGGTGAAAGAGAATGTCATTAAAAATGGACAATATTGATTGTGATTAAAAGAATTAGGGACAATAGGCATTAAAAATGGTATAACCATTAGAACAGAAATATTAATCTTCCCACACAACAAATATAATTTGTTGAGACAGTATGGCAAATACAGTTTGAAGAGAAGTAGTAAATATAATAAATAATTATAGCATAAGATATTCTGACAGAATTGAAAGCAAACATATTCACTTATCAACAAATGTGGAAGGGTTGAATTTGCCTATTAAATGGAAAGATTTTCAGGTTGGCTCATAAAGACATAACTGATACTCTATTCAAGAAACATTTAAAAGAGCTGATTCAGAAGGGCAGGAGGGTCAAATGTATTCCAGGCAAATGGGAGCACCAAAAAAGCAGGGAGAACAACACTGATGTTAGATCAAGTAGAAAGCAAACAATACAGTAGGGAAAGATTTTTCTAACTATGATTTCAAATTCACATGCAAGAATGAAATAAAAGGAAACTAAAAAAAAGGAAGCATCTAACGATATACAATAAGTGACAGAAAAACATGATAAAAAAGTGAATAACAGAAATAAAATCAAAAGACAGCTGACAAATTGATAAATATTTGTAATACACATAACAGATAAAGGTCTAATATATGTAATATATAAATAAATCTTAAAATTATAAGGTAAGAAACAAAACAACTCACTGATAGAAAAATGGGCAAGACATGAAAAAATTCACAAAAATAGATATAAAAAAGACACAAATATTTTTAATGAGTATTCTACTATACCTGTAATTAGAAAAATGCATTGTAAAACTACCCCACGGTAACATTTCTCAACTATCCAATGGACAGAATTTAAAATGTAGAACACCTTACTCTATTGCAGAGGCTGTGGGATCACAGGACTCTCTCTTGTATGGCTGGTGTTAATCTGAACCTTCACAGTGGAAAATTTAGCAGTAAACAAAACTACACAAGCACTCACCTTCTGACTTAACATTTCTACTCTAGCAACTTACCCCAAAGACCTAACTCCAATAATATGAAAACACATTTTCTTTGCTATATTTTTTGTAACTACAAGATACGGAAAATAACTCGTATGCCGACACAGATGAGCTGCTGAATAAAATTGACAGGTCTACCTAATGAGGTACTAGAAAGGTTTTTTTTTTTTGTTTTTTTTTTTGTGGTTGTTTTTTTGTTTTAAATAAGGAAAATCCTTATGGACATATGTGCAGTGATTCCAGGATATATTTTTAAATGGAAAAATAAAGTTTGGTTTGGTTTGGTTTTGACAGACAGAGTGAGTGAGTGCACAGTAGGAGTGGGGTGCTGAGGGAAAGGGAAACAGAATATTAAACAGGCTCCATGCTCAGTGTGGAGCCTGATGCAGGGCTCTGATCCCATGACCCTGAGATCATGACCTGAGCTGAAATCAAGAGTCAGACACTCAACCAACTGAGCCACACAGGTGCCGCCCCCCCACAAAGTTTATAAAATGGCCAGGAATATTAATTTTTGTATTAAGAGCAGGAAATAATATATATACATGTTTTCACCTATGCAAACAGAAACAAAGAAAGCATATATCAGAGACTAATGAGATGGATTATCTATGGGGTATGGGGGGGTAAATGGGTAAAAAGAAAAGAAACAATTTGAAGCAGGAGTTGCCACCTCTTAAACTATACCATTTTGTGCAGTTCTGATTCATGGAATAACGTACATGTTTCACACATGTAAAGAAAAAATATAAATAAAATTACCAGGGATGGAAGAAAAATTCTTTAAGTAAAACACATCAGAAATGTGAATTAAAGTGCATTTTAAATGAAGCACTACATGGAAGGAAGGCAGGGAAAATGCACTAACCGAGGTCACTTTTTGTTATTATTACTCTAAAAATTGAGACATAATTCACACCATAATATTCACTCTTCCAAAGTACAAAATTCAGTGGATTTTTGTATATTTACAAAGTTCTGCCACCAACACCACCATCCAATTTCACATTCATCACTCAAAAAAAAAAAAAAAATGCCATCCGTACCTATTAGCAGGCACTCATTATTCCTCCCTCCCCTAGAATTTAGCAATCACTAATTTACTAATTGATCTCTATGGATAAACCTATTTTGGGTATTTCATATAAGTTGAACCATATTTTGTGTTTGGCTTCTTTCTTAACCTAATGCTTTCAAAGTTTTTTCATGTCATAATACATACCATTTTTATGGCTAAATAATATTCCATTGTATGTATATACCATTATTGCTTATTCAGTCACCAATGCAATGGATATTTGGCTTCTTTTTGGATATTATGAATAATGCTACTATGAACATTCACGATCAAGTTTCTGTTGGAACATGTTTTCTTTAAGGGTCTACAGCTACTAGTGAAAAGGCAGGTCATATGAGACTCTCACTGTGTTGACGCCGGTACACTTGATGGTACCCCATGAGTCTTTGAGGATCTGTTGGTTGTTCATTTTTCCCCCCTCCTAAGATTGGTTAATCTCAATTGACCTATCTTTAGTTTCACCAAATCTTTCTTCTGCCTGCTTCAATCTGCTGTTGATCACTTATGTTGAATTTTCTCTATCATTTAACTTTTCAATTCCTAAATTTCTTTTTGTTTCTTCTTTATAATTTCTATTTCATTATTGATATTCTCTATATGGTGAGGCATTATTCTCAGACTTTTAGTTCTTTAAATATTGTTTCCATTAGTTCTTTGCACA